TTCTTCCACTTTTAGTTTTCTATGTTATATTTTAGGCGATGGTAAAGTTATCAATCGCAAAGAGAGTGCATTCTTTAATGCTAGTGTTAATTGATAAAATATATAGTGCTTTAACAATGTGTTCTTGTTTAATTATACATTATATTTCCTTAATGAAGAGGAAATAAATCATTATTTTCCACTTTCATTCATTTAAATTTATACACTATAAACTGTATTATCTTTTTTTAAAAATTGGAAGCTATTGTGGGTCACAGCATCATTTAAATTTACTTTATAGTTAAAATATTACATGTAGATTCATTCTGCAGAAAGTAGCTATTAGCTGCATCCCCAAAATACTGAGTTATTACAAAGATTTAATCAAAATCAGTTATGCTTTCATTTGTATGGAGATTGTAGCACGGTATGGAAAAGTTCTACATAGATATTATGACTTAAGCATGTGTGTGGTTTGCAGGTGAATGGCAGTTTATATGACTAAGTGGGGAAATGCACACAACCCCCCTGCTTGAGGCTAACCTTAATATGGTTAGCAGCCCTCACGCTTGCATTGCGAGTCTACCCCACTGCTAACCTCAGACGATGTCAGTATAGCATCAATCTGCCACACATAAACACCACAGGATGTTTGTGCAGTGTTAATGTGTGTGGGAAGGAGGCATATCACACCTGATGTGAAGGCAAATATAGGCCTATACTTTGCTGCTAAATCATGCAAGCCAAGCCATAGTGGAAATTTGCCGTCCTTTAATTAACTCAAATGACAAAGCTGAAACACCTAGTAACACAGTGGTGTTGTAGCATGCAAGAGTAAGTGTGTGGTCAGGGCATTTTCACCTTGTAAAAGCTGTAGTCTTTACTTGTGACACTTCTCGGTCATCATCAGGTTGTTTCCACGTGACTGCCAAACAGTAGACACCTGTAAGCTGGGCCTCTACCCGCCTGATCTGTAGCTATTATTGTTGTCAGGAAACAGATGTGAGTTCACACACTGGAAAGAAAGTCTGTTTGTGACTGTGGTCATATGCGTCTGCACGGTATGGCTGTGTGAGTGTGTATGTGTGTGTGTGCCTGTGCGCGCATGAGCAGGGTGTGGGCGGGTGGGTTTCGGAAAGTATGACTTGGCATTTCTTACACCCGGTCCCCCCCATCCTCGACTACGGTTTAAATGCATGTCTGGCCATACGGTACTACTCCAGCACACACACATGCATACAGTGCACAGGAGGGGTGGTAGTGCACACATGAGTGTTCATGAGTGACTGTGAGATGACCTTGGTCAACTGTGGTCAAACCCAGAGAGGTGGTTGGGAAGTGGTTACATATAGTTTGGCATTTGATCAGCCTCTTGAAGTCCAGAAAAGACACATGCGCTCAAGATCAAATGTGCAGAGACATTAGGCTTAGTGCGCTGTCAGAGTAATGCAATATGATGTGAGGTTGTTCAGTGCATGTAGACACACACACACACACTCATGAATCACTCTAAATTTGGGGGCACCACACAATCACAGGATAAATTAGATAAATTTGTTCCAGATGATGTATAACATATAGACTGTGTTAATGACATGCTCATACAGATGGCCAACACACACATGCTTGCACACATACACACACAGATGAGCGCCAAAAACAGCCACCCTGGGAAACGGTGAATTCCCCAAACCACAGAGTGCATGAGAGGGTGAGGGGAGTCATGGGAAAGCAGGATGCCTGCATGCAGTGCCACTGAGTGAGCAGACTGGGCCCGAGCTAAAACAGACTGAGCAAAAAAGAAAAAGACGGGAGCAAAATAATACACATCCTGATTTGGCACCGAACCGATGACAGCATCCGAAGGTTCAAAGGCTTGTGAGTGCGATTTATCCACACGCTGTGGTCGGTCAGCTGGCTAGCCAGTCCGGCAGGCACGTAGGACGAGGTGGGTCGATTACAGGTCTGCTCCCATCCTGACACAGTTTGGGAAAACCCAGATGAAAATACAAAGTACGTGTTACGTCTGGGAACGCCTGTAACTCCACCAAATCTTGGGGCCCCTGAGGAATTTGGGAGGGGGGACCAGCTAGGTGGAAAAGGCTGAATAGCACTCTAAATCAAGGTGAGACGGTATCTGGAAGCTTTTACTTGATGATATGGCAAAAACAAACAGTTGAGAGCCTGTGACTGCATGAGTCTTAAGTGTCTGGAAAGTTCCATCCAGTTGGCTCCATTTACTGACGTCTGTAAAAACTCCAAAGGTTACAAATCACGTCAAACGCTCCTCTCATGTGTGGTCACTCGGATTATTTTTTAAAATCTGCGTTGTGTAATCTCCCCCTCCAATAAAATTCCTTTATTGCCTTTCACCAAAAGAATGGTTTCACTTTAATCATTGTTTAAACAGATGTCAAATTCTTTAAATAAACATAAGAACCGCGAAGCATTCAAAAAGAAAACATTTGGCCAGTGAGTAATCCAATTACAACTTTAATTGCTTAGCAGCAGCACTGTGTAATCCAGCCGTCTCTTCTGTATCACGCCTCCCCAAATTATCTTTGAAAAATCATTCTGTCCAACCAGATGCTGCCTTGTGTTGTATGCAGGATGTTTATGTTTAGAGGTATATCTTCTCAGTTCCCTCCCTTTAACCCCCCAACACACACACACACACACACACACACACACACACACTTTCACTCTTTCTCATTTACCTTCCTTTATGCTACCCAAGCCCGACGAGTGGCAAAGCGCGTTTTTTGAAATGATTGCAAAGCTAGACAGGTGAGCAAAATGGATATATTATATTTATATGTTGCATTTATCGTTCCAAACAACAACTATTTGACTAAATTGTGCGTGCAAACTATTTAATTAAGAAAAAAAGAACAGGGTTTTTTTATAGTTCTTTTACCACGCTACGATACTTTTGATGCCATTATAAGATTTGTCATTGGAAATCTGTTTCAATAATTATGACCCTTTACTCGTGAGTTATGTCAGGGTTTCAGTATTAACAAGTGATGAATAACTGTCCTGCTTTCACTAAAAGTCGTGAAACTGAGAGTGAGAAAAGGTTTGTGAGTGAACGTAAGCCGCTTTCTGACTGTCCATCACTTGTGTTTGGTTAACCACAGGTTTTGCATGCATTACTTGTGCTAACTTAAGAGATAAAACTTGTATTAATGAGCGAGTCATCTAAGTAGTAATAAGAATTAGTCTCAGACCTTAGTGGTGTAAAATTATTAATTGTGCGAATGACTAGGGAAACTTTCTGACACCACTAAGCTGCCGCAGCTTTTGCACTGAAATGTTGACTGATAAATTCAACATAGAGTGCTTTTAAAATGTATCTTGTTTTTTTAATCTGTGCTGTGTCTACTGCAGTATGCTCTTTAATGTTTTCTCCCTTTATTTCAGTATGCTTTTGCCCAGAAAAAAGTTCCTCTATCATTACAAGAATGTGCGCTGGGCAAGGGGCCGGCATGAAACATACCTCTGTTTTGTAGTAAAAAGACGAGTAGGGCCTGACTCCTTGTCCTTTGACTTTGGACACCTCCGCAATCGCAATGGCTGCCATGTAGAGGTAGGTAAAGTGGGAGAAGATATGAAAAGGGTCTGCTCAGTAGCAAGAGAGAAAACAGCAATTGAATGAAGGCTGTATAATGATTATTTTATTCTTATTTTTCTCTGCAGCTGCTGTTCCTGCGCCACCTTAGTACATTATGCCCTGGTCTATCTGGGTATGGATTTCATGGGGAGAGGAGGGTCAGCTACTCCATCACCTGGTTCTGCTCCTGGTCTCCCTGTGCAAACTGCTCTTCCAGACTGGTCCAGTTCCTCAAACAGACACCCAACCTTCGCCTCAGGATCTTTGTCTCTCGTCTTTACTTCTGTGACATGGAGGACAGTCGTGAAAGAGAGGGTCTCAGGCTGCTTAAAAAAGTCGGCGTGCACATCACAGTCATGAGTTACAAAGGTGGATGACTAAAGTTATGCCTATGTGGGCGATAAACAGAAAAAGTAGAGACATATTTGACTTTAGAGTTGTGCACTATTCCCTAAAATAGCCCTTTCCTGGATGTTAGTAACAATTATTTATTTTGCTGATTGTTTTAAGACTTCTTCTACTGCTGGCAGACTTTTGTGGCTCAGCAAAGCAAATTTAAGGCCTGGGAAGATCTGCATCGAAACTCAGTACGTCTGGCCAGAAAACTCAACCGCATCCTCCAGGTATAACATGTAACACACAACATATTTTCCCTCAGGCAAGCAGGATGAGGCCAATCGAAATAATGATGTGTTCAGAATGATAATAATGTCCTGTTCTGCCTTTTCTCTTTCAGCCCTGTGACACAGAAGATTTAAGAGATGCCTTCAAGCTTCTTGGACTGTAAAACAAACCTGTGGCTGCCTCTGAAGTTAGCATTAAGTCTATTATTAAGTCTGATGAGAAAAAAGATATGGTGTTGGACCATCACTACAAGAGCTAAACTGAGAATTAGAAAAACTGAGAAAAAAATGCTTTCAAGTTGTGGCAAGGCTTGTAACATTGGGTAGCTGCTGCTTGCTGTATCTGTAGCGAAGTCAAATAAAATACTTTACAATCAGATACTGGATTGTGTTATTGATTGCGAACGGTAATCATTATTAATGTTATAGATTTATAGTACCAATTGTTCTGGGCCGATAACCAGTAGGTAGTAGCTACCATAACCCACAACTGTGGATTATGGTTAAAAACTATTCCAGTTTTTCACATTTAAACTGTATCTGACAATAAAGTCGAAAAACAAATAATCAAATCAAATCGTAATCAAAGCAGCAAATGCTTAATGTCAAAATTTTAAAGTTAAACCGAAAACAATCCCATAATACAACCAAGAGCTATTAATCCTTTGATTTTTTCTTTTTGATCTAGCGTAGAAAATGTGTGCGTAACACCCCTTTAATGTAGCAACGTGTCGGTAGCAATGGCGCAGAGGGACCCGCTTATGCGCAAATACACCGTCTATTACGGTCAAATAGCCGTTAACGCGGCGCGGACACACCACACCGTCACCATCACCGCCACCGGCGTACTCCGACTGAGTAAAAGTCAAGATGGCGACCGATGGTCAGTTCGAATATGAGTCGATCCTCTGTGTCAAACCTGAAGTCAACGTTTACCGAATTCCACCGAGAACATCTAACCGGGCTATCAGGTGAGGCATGGGGGAGGTTTCTGACCCAGCGCTCGCGTGCTGCTGCCTTTAGAAGCCGTTGCCTCAGCGACCTGCCTACCAACCTACCCAGCTCATCCGCTAGTCACGAAGCCTCACGTAGCGGCGGCGGTAGTTTATGAGCAGGTTGTTTTTGGGTGTGTATTTACAAGGTCATGGGGTTGTCCTGGGCCCTGTTAGCCCACTTAACAAGGACTGTATCGGATCGGCTACATCCCTCTCGGTTTGTCTGTGTTCGTGCTTTCATCCTGTGACACATCAGGATAGATCTGGCACTTAAAATCAGCTATCAGCTGAGAACAGCGTGCTACACGTCCTAATTTCAGTTTAAGTACAAACAGAAGAGCATCCCTGAGGCTGCAGAGAGGCTAGAGTCCTCCTCAAGGACGCTTGAGCATTGTTTGATGTTGCTCCATGTCAAGGGGTTAAACATGGGATGCCCTGGCTCATAGCCAATGTGGTCACCTCAATCCATTGTTATGTCTTTACTGTAGAGATAATGCATATGTTATAAAGAGGTCGATATTGGTTTGTTTACCCCATTTTTCATTGGCTGGTCCTTCAGCGTGACCTGCCGCAGCTGCTTCTGACTGGACATTACACCAACCAAACAGTAGCATGTGCCTCAGGTCCCATGAGACACAGGATTGGTTAACCGCTGACCATATGTATTGTGAGTAAGGGTGATGATGTAATATTTTATCCCCATGTCTCAGTGAAATGTCTTAGTCACGTTTTGCACACGTAGAAAATGAGTGTGTCTGAGTATGACAAATCATAACAGTAACTTTCCTGTGTCTTGCTTATTCACCTCCTCTGTCAACATCAGTCTGAGTAAACTGTCAACAATTCACCTACATCACAACATCTACCTCTGTGTGTGTGCGTGTCTTAGGGCTGCTGATTGGAAGCTGGATGCTCCTGACTGGACGGGACGCATGCGTGTGACGGCCCGGGGCAAAGTAGCCTACGTGAAATTGGAAGACAAAGTCTCTGGTGAGAGACGAGCAGACAGGGCAGCGCCATTGTTTACCGGGCTGTCGCTGCTGTAAATCACTTCACTGTATAGTCTTCTGTTTGTCACCCTGCCCCTCTGTTACTCATCGATTCCAAGGTGACCCAGCCTGCAGCCGAGTGAGCAGTCTGGAGGCTGCATCAGTGCATTTTTTTTAGAAACTTAATGTCCTTGTTTTCTGTAAAATACACCTTTTGTTTTCCATTCACGTAACATGGCAACAATATTAAGTTCTGGTCTGATTCTTTAAATCCTAAAGAAAGGTGGTTTATTTACTACCTCCTTCAGCATAGGATACAAATAATGTCCTACAGAACAATCAGAATAACAAATAGGTGATGCAGATCGTGTAAATTTGAATTAACATAACCTGCTGATATGTTTTGAACCTGGAATAGCAGCCTTTAAATGTGGACACAGAACTGCTGTAAATCATTTAGAAAATCAAAATTATTCAATTCAGTTTTATTTATCTAGCTCTAAAACACAAGAACAAACACCTCAAGGTGCTTTATATTATAAGGTAAAGTACCTACAATAATGCAGTGTAAATCCCACCAATCAACTAACCCCTTTTGAGCAAAGATTTGGGGACAGTGGGAAGGAAAAACTCCCTTTTAGCTGGAAGAAACCAGGCCCAGGTTGGAGCAGCCATCTGCTGCAACCAACTGGGGGTGATGGGGAGAAGACACAATGTGAAAGAGAGCCAGAGATTCATAGCTGTATTAAAATGACCAAAGTGAGTTTAAGGTTTACAGTAATTGAGCTTGAATCAGTTATAGTACCATGCAAAAGTTGTTGTTTTTTTTGTTTTATGGACATTGACTGCTTTTTGGTTCATTTTCGGTCCAGTCCCTGTACCTGACCATTTTCAGAGAAATGTTTTTTTTTTCTGTTTGTTTGCTAAGCTGCTTAACATTGACCTGTGACTCATTCAAGCATAAAAAAAGACACCTGACTCAAGTGACAAACCAGTGTTGTGTCTACACATAACACTTAGGAAAGAACCAAGTTTAATTTGTGCCTTTAGGCACTTTGTCCCAAAAACACATAATTTGTTCCCATGTCTTTAGTTAAATCTACGGAAAATGCCAAAAATAACACCGTCGGAGAGCACAAAATAGTATTTTTGTACCAGCAAGGTGATTCCCAAAAATTTGGCCTATGTCAGCATGGTGTGTAGTGTATCCTTAAAAAATGAGTAAACTGGATGAGAATAGAGGAAAAAAGAAAAAGTGGGATGTGTAAAACACTGTCTAAAGCAGATGAACAGAAAGCCTTGTCCTTTAAAGGAAAAACTACAGTTTGCATAGTACTGTATATCCGTTGTTGTATTGCTGCCTTTAAGATTATCATGAATTCATCTGACCTGAATCACATAAACCTTTAATAAAGGCGGGCTTTATTAAAGTAAGTGAGGACATGATGACCAACTAATCTGAGTATGACTGGGATTTTTACTGACTTTATAGGCTATGTATTCCTGTTTATTTAAAACCACCTGAAACATATTGCAACATACAAAGCTATAGGTGAGTATCTAAAATAAGCTTTTTGTAGTCCATCTTCAGGGCCCTGTAGTTTCAACACAGTCGACATCAATGATGTCATCGTCACATTGTTTAAGAGACTTTTGTGAGTGCAGTCAGATTCTCACCAGCTCCACACTTATTTAATTATTCTCCTTCACATCTGTCCTTTACCTCGTGGCATTTTCCATCAAACCTTCAGACTGTTTTGCCAAGCTGATAATGAACACATATCTTTTCAGGGGAGCTTTTTGCCCAAGCACCAGTGGACGAGTATCCTGGAGTTGCAGTGGAAACAGTTAGTGACTCAAGCCGTTACTTTGTGCTGCGCATCATGGACGACAACGGTGTGTAAAACAATTATTGCTAAGCCATAAAATATTGGAAGAAAAAAAAAGTGTTTGAACAGGATACAAGGACATTATCCGGATTGATGTGTGTTTTTTAAAAGTCTAATAAATTTAAATTAAAGAATGTGTTTGTATTTTTTTAAAGCCTTTAAAATAATTTTTTATAGAATCACATACTGTCTGTATTAGAGATTACTGAACTGTTGAGTTGCTGTATCCATAATTTGTTTCGCAAAGACAAAACTGAATACACATTCAGTGTGTATTCAAACATTACATAATTTAAATTTCGTTCAGTCCTGATTTTTATTTTAAAGGTCTTCATTTTTAAAGTAATGCAGAAGTTCTGTTTCTGTACAGCACATTTTCACCCAGTTTGTGCTACGGTGTGCAGGTCATTCTGAGAAACCTGCGGGTTTATTTTGTTTGTTATTACTGCTGTAACTTGATTGTTGTCTTTATGTTTTTTTTCTCAAAGGCCGCACTGCATTCATAGGCATTGGGTTTGGAGACCGAAGCGATGCCTTCGACTTCAACGTCGCACTTCAGGACCACTTTAAGTATGAAGCTGCTCTGTGAACACAGCTCTAATCATGACTAATTGAGTTGTCAGTGTATTTTTTTTCCTTTAGTGTTTCCTAAGATACATTTTTGTATCACTGCTTTCCTCCCTTGCTTTCTTCAGGTGGGTGAAACAGGAAACTGAATTTAGCAAGCAGGCTCAGGCTCCAGACTCCACTCCAAAGCTGGACCTGGGCTTCAAAGAAGGACAGACCATTACTCTGAACATTGGGGTATTATTTATTTTCATAGAGTTTCATAGTACTAGTGTGGTGTTTAGGCCTTTTTCAAAGCTGTACAAATATGTCTCTGTCAAGCTCGAATGCATTGCATCGCATATATTTACTGCTAGGTTTAAACAAGCATCAATCATACTTGATATACCCTCATTCATGCACAGATTTTGTTTCCTTCCATCTATATCTTATCTAGCAATCGAAAAAGAAGGACAGGTCTCGTCCACAGAGTTCAGGCGGCTTTGGGCTCCTTCCGCCTCCCCCTGGGGGCAAACTGGCTCCACCCCCTTCTTCCAGATCAACAAATCATAACACACAACCATCAGCAGGAGGAAGTGATTCTGGTAGGTAACAGTCCAACAACAACCCCATGTTTAATCTTCACCTCAATTTACAATGTTATGAGGTTAAGAAAAGATATAAAGGAGGATTCAGAACGAGGGCTGCGGTATATCATATCGTCCAGTATGATACCAGAATAAATTTTTACGTGATCTAAAACCGTTGTATCGTGATATCAGCGATAGAGTGGTGCCACATGTTTACATTCCCTAGCATGCACAATAAGAAAACAAGCCCAGGCATGTCTGACTGCGAGAGTTGCATGTCAGCTTCCGATGATGATTTAGTAAAAGAGGGAGCTACTTCACTAAACTCCATCACAGCACAATGGAAGCAACAAACTTGTTTCACCACTCGAGGCAAAAACAGATCGTTGAGTTCAAGAAGGCTGCAAAGGTGGAGATGCTAGCAGCTGTTGATGTGCAGCCCAAAAGTAAAACAAAGGAGTCACCTGAGCATAGCTGGAGCACTCGCTGTCTATACTCCATATGACAGGAAGAGCGTATGTGGATGGAAATTACTGATGCAGTTACTCTGTAGAAAAGTAGAGCTTTAAGGAGCTGGTTAAAAGTTCTACTCAAGATAGAACATCCCGGTTGAAATGCAATGCTGTTAAGTTTCAGTTTTATAACATGACAAATCTGTGCACAGTTCTAAAGAGTTTCAAGTTGTGAATTTTTTTTAAACACTGCATAGGCTTCTTCAGCACTTACATTTGACTTAATACTGTGTCACTACTACGCTCAAAATGATGCTTGCAATTCCACCAGGTGCAGCGCAGCAGCTCTGGTCTGCGATACTTAAAATAGCATCGGGTCAGTTTTTTTATAGAACGACTGTCAAGCTGCACAGAGCCAATAAGGAGGGCAGGAAGTCAGGTATAGAAATCTGGCCAGTTTTCAAAATAATAGACCGCATGCACAGTTTTCTGAAACTCTCCTGTTGTGATTTGAAGCCGTGCTAAAGGCAACAGAAAACCTCACTCGAGACACAGTCTCACAGACAAGCGGCAGGTGTATTTCAGGTGTTAATGTGAAGGTCGTGAATCTGTGCACTTTGCTGGTTGAGCCCAGTTTTTAATTAATGTCAGAAGCAG